TGATACATGTTAACCAAAAAAGTCTCTTCTACAATTGTCCAGCTCAGAAATTTAATAAAACATTTAACAGTACTTCTAAACTACATTTTTGCATGAAAATAAATTAATAAACCTACTAAATTAATATTAAATTAAACTGAACATATAAACAGTAAATACTGAATTTAACAATATTATAAACAAATACAAAGAATGCTTTTTATATATGTATTATGCAGTATTAGATCACAGATAGTCGGCAAGCCCTCGATGCTGATTGAATGAGCTGAGTATTTCAGGTAGCATAGGTGAGCCTAAGTCCAAAACAATATATATATATAATAATTATACAAAATATAATTATATACAGTATAAAAATGATTAAAACTTATAATTTGTATAAAACATCTAGCAAGTAGCACTTGAAAACTGGAGTGACACTACCTACAGTTGCTATGTATTTTCAAATGCAGCGTTGATCCACTAGTCATTCCTACAAACGTAGTGAGGCTACGTAGTGTGTGTGTGTTGTTTATAACAGTGCTAAGCACAGATCTGTCTCTCAGTTCCTGGCTGTTTTACAACTCTAGAAAATCGGAAATTTTATTGAGTTATTCCAAATTTGATAAACAAAGGTTTGCGGAGTATTCAAAATTTAGAAATATAAGCATGGAAAAAGGATATGTGTGTGTCTAATGATTATTGATAATAAAGGGAAGGTGATGCTTTAATGTTTTGTCAGATGTACTGTAGTATTTTGTAATAATTTGACACTTTAATGGACTTACATAATTTTAGGTATTTTGTATGAACTAAGTTGAGAATCGTTATTATTTTATTTAGTATTTAAAAGCAGAAGAAGAACAAAGTACCTCGTCAGATATGATGCTACCAGCAGCAGGTTCATATCACTATGGGTCTCACTACAGTAACAGTGGAACAGTTCTGCATTTCCTTGTTCGGCTTCCACCTTTTACTCAGATGTTTCTGAGCTATCAAGGTAAACCTATATTTTAATATGGTTTTGACAAATGCATGATGACAATGGTTTTTTTTTTCAGTACAAAGCAACAAAATGGACCATCTGTACTCTGTCCACCTGTAGGAGTTAGACCCTGGATTTTGACTTTGCAAGGCAATAAATGTACTGCTGACCCATCAGGGGACAAGTATCATGACAGAATACAGGTTTATATTAGATTATGAGAAATACATCATAATAAAGCAAATTTACCTTAAATGCTGAGAAATGCTTGATGATAAAATACAAACTTTCCAATGAACTGAGTAAGGCTTGTTGACAAAACTTATTTTGGAATCTGTTAAATTTCTGCTAAAATGACTTATTTTGGTATTTAAGAAAATCATCATGACAAGAATACAGAACATTTAACCTTACAAGCTGAGTAGCTTTATAATGAATTGTTCTTGTTGGTCAAGAAATAAAATGAAACTTACCTTTTCAGAGGTGGAAATATTCATCATGAAACATACATCTTTAACAGAGTAATGATTTATGATAAATTAAAACTTTCTATAAATAGAAGTAGCTTATAAAAGAAACCTATCTCCTAATATGCTTCATTTCTCAGCTTACGAGATAAACCTGTATTTATCATGATAAATTTAAAGTGACAAAGCATAGTGAATTGCAAAAAAGGATCAAATTAATTAGTTTAAAAAGGCAGTAAATAGATTTTAAAGTTGCTTCTTTTCTTTAATTCTTCACTAATTTCATTTAATTGAATTGTGTTAAATACAAAACTAGATTTTTAGTTTTGATATTTTGTACTTCAAAACATTTGTGATAATACAACTGAAGCTTTCTAAAGCAGAAAACAGAATACTTCAGTGTAGTTTAATATTTTTCAATGTAATATCAAGTTCCCCAAAATTGTTTTGATATTTGTTGTTGTTTTTTCCACAAACTAATATGTAATTATTTAAGTACTTGTGATCTTGAGATCTTTAAAGATATCTTATTGTTTTCATCATTGTTACTTATGAGGAGTTATTTACTTTAGTTATTAAATTTTGTCATTCAATACAAGATCACAACTTTGACATACCGGATCGGACATTTCATTCACTACGCACCACATGGCGATTATCCAGTGGCGATTCTACAACAGATGTTAAAGAATTGATTCCTGAGTTCTTCTTCCTACCAGAGTTTCTCATTAACTCGGAAGGTAAAAATGTACTTTTTAAGGTAGCTTATCAACCATAATATTCAAATTCCAAACTCATGAGTATTTAGCATTTTATCTTCAAGGTAAACAGGAATTTCTAAATTTATTTATGTATTTGTAAATGGCTTGGTATATTGGCTCAAAAGTTTTTCAAAAGTTCACTCTAAAAAATAAAAATAATTACATTTCAATGCAAGGTGAAAGAACAGTTTGAACATTTGAACTATGTGAAACAGCTTGACAGAAAAAATTAGAACAATCCGTACATAGAAGAGATTGAATACATTCCAAAAAGTAGAGCAAAGTATATAAGATGAAAAGCTTAATTTAGGTTTGTAATTTTATATCAATACATAGATTATCTGTATACTACTAAAACTTTGAGATTGTTTGTTTGTGTGCTTGTCTGTAATTAAATACAGCAAAAACAGCACATAATAGTGCCATATTTGTAATTAAATGATAATATAAATGAAAATAGAAACAGAATAAAACAAGTTTCGTTAAAATCGGGCCACGGCTTACCTATTTAGCACCATTTTTCGGGTCACTTTTCATACATTCCATTATCATAAAACTTTGTGTTCCACCTGATGAATCACTTTAAAATAGCTTCTATACAACAATATATGCACAACAGAAATTAAATGATGAGATGAAAATGTGTTATTACATTTGCGTAGAAAGAACAACAATAAAATGGACCTACAATATTATTGACTATTTGCAAATAGT